CACGACCACACTGGTTGTCTGGAATACACAGCAGTGATTTAGAGCCATTCTGCTCAAAATGCAACGACTGGTCTCCCAACCAAAAGCCTTACAAAGGCTGCTGGGTTGCCTTCCTATATCTATTTACTGTATGGAGAGTGCTTACCAATTTTTTAGACCACCTTTCATAAAAACTAGAAAACAGATATTTTAGATATCTGTTAAAAACACGTTTAAAACTAAAAATGTGATTGTTATTTATTACTGAATTCATGTTTTTATACTCAAATTTGAGCCGGCACTGGACTTTAGTCAGACATCAATCAAGTGTAGCATCCAACCACCAAAACTAATTTTATACTTGAATATCAGCGAAAAATTATAACAATTTAGTTTATTTATCTTAATAGAAAAATAATAATGATATGCTTTTTATTTTATTTTTTTGGATTTATGTATAATAGTAAATTTGATAGTTCATAGATAATGATAATTACTACACTGTAGTATTAAAAATATGATTTTGATTAAATATGTTGCACAAACTGGTGGATTAAGCATTACAGAAACAAAACTGTAATTACTGATACTGTTAGCAAGCTGTGACATAAACCTTACATTGTGTTTGGATCAGTCTTTGTCTAATATTAAATTATTATATTGATATTTTAATATTAAAACTTGTTTGATGATCTGAAACCTGTAAGTGTGACAGATATACAAAAAAAAAAACCAGGAAGGGGGGAAATACTTTTTCATGTCTCTCTCATACATACAGAGCTGAATTCTTACAAAGGCAGCCGGGCTGGTAACTACAGACAAAACAAACTAATATATCTGCAACGTTCAGCGGTGTAAGCACCACCCTGAAAGTTTCAAAACCAGTGCTTACTCAGTACCGCTTTAGCTCAGAGGTGACCGAGGCAGGAGAGCAGCGGTCCGAGTACAGTGGTCTTTGAGATTTTCACATATTTTATGGACCTTTTTACTACAGATCACATATTTAGGCCTTGAACGTGTCACAAAATAATGCCTCTCTTCTTTTTCAATGGAGAGATCAATTTCAAGGAGCAAGTTTATGAAAATTACTGGCACTCCTTTTTTCTGCTGTCTCAGCCGAGTGTAAAGTAAAGTAGTCATTTGTTCACATTCTGTTGATAGGTTTAATTAATTTAAAGGTTTTCAGCTATTTTAAAACAGGATTTTTACAGGTCACTCTCATAAAAGCTGGGGAGAAGCCAGCAGCAGCAGTCCGAAACACCTTCCCTGGCCTGTTGGCAACGGCGCATGATTGGGAACTGAGAGCTGATCTGGCAAAGCAGTTAAAGTTCCCTGAAGTGGTAACCAAGACAACGCTGAGGCTGGACATCGTTCTTACCTCAGCTGATTCCAAGCACGTAATCCTCTTGGAGCTTACTGTGCCTTGGGAAGATGCTATGGAGGAGGTCAATGAGAGAAAGAGGGAAAGTATTCTGTGCTAGTGGAGGAGTGCCGGAGTAATGGTTGGCCAGATGACAACCCATCGAAGTGGGATGTTGAGGATTCGCGGGTCAATCCCTCTGCAGGGCATACAAAATGCTGGGCATCGTAGGGGCCAGCCAGCGAAGGGCCATCAAGTTGGCCACCAAAGCAGCAGAAGCGACGTCAAAGTCGCTGTGGATCAGAAGAGGAGAGGCGTGGCATGTAGGGCCACAAGTACCTGGCCACAAGCTGGGGCTTGATCAACACTAGCTGGGTCGCCTGGCAGAGGGGGTCTGATTGTTGAAAGACCCGAAACCCCCCATGACCTCAGGTTACATCACTGATGATGTGTCCAAGGGCACCGAACGGTGTATCTAAAACTATTAATAATACCTCAGTTGCCTCAACACCTCAGAGGTTTTAATGAGGCAGCAGCACTGAACAAGAAGGAAGAGGACAGGCTAGATGTCAGAGCAAATTAAGGACAGAGGAGAGTATCATATCCAAAAGCCATTATCACTTTTGTCTCCAGATAATATTCATTGAACAGGACATACACATAAGCTCTTGGCTCAAATGATCACATGGGAACTATTAAAAACACAGTTGTGAAATTCTCACCTGTCTATTAACAGATGAGTGTACTTATCACTGTTTTGTTTAGTTTAGTGAATCTACTGTGAAAAGCTGCTCTCTAACAACAGGCTGTGCAAATTATGAAGGGTAGTGGTGACCCCTATTAAACTGATACTAGAGAGTACCTACAGGGCATATTTTCTCCATTCACTGGTTTAGGAATGGGGGGGTTTGGTAAAATATGGGGTCATACTTTGGAACCGTGTAAGGAAAGACACAAAGGGAGGGGAACAGGCTTCAGAGGACACTTCCGGCTTGTGCAAATAGGAAACTACAAAAATACATACACCCATAGTGAGTTATTTACATACACAAAATAAATGCCTCCTAGCACATTGGATACACTGAAGCAAATATAATTTCTTCACAAGCTAAAATATCATGCACAGTTTACTAAGGCAACTTCAAAAAACTGGTGTGAAAGTCAGCTGTTAACACTGTCAGGAATGAGGAACCCCCACAACGAGAAGACACGGGCACTGTAGCGAGGCGAGTCTATCCAGTTTCCAGGTTTATATTCACAACGGAGATTTTACGGTAGCTTCAGTGGTTGTTACATGACGGCAGAGGTACTGCAAATGAGCAGTGTGACGCTATGCCTACGACTTCAAGACTGTTATATGATAACAAAGAAATGATAAGAAAGTCGGAGGTAATATCACAATACATCCGATTCCATTCTGTTCAATAACAACAGCTGAGATAAGGTATATACATGTAGATGCTGCAATGCTTTGTTCATTGGACCATTGTGTCAACACGGTTGCCATATTGTTCATGAAGAGCTGAACCTCCAGTTGTAACTATGGGACAGAGGCTCGTACTCAATTAAAAATGACCATGAGTGAATTTTAAAATGATTTTGGATCTGTGGGTTTCCCTATAAGAATATTTTAATAACAAAATATCTTAAGTTGTTGTTAGCAACCCTAATACTTCGATAATATAACACTTAAAGTTAACTGTCCAATTCTACAGGTGCTTTTCATAAACTTGAGCGGTAAAAAATCAACTGTCAAATGCAACTCACACCATTTGAACCCATTTACTGTGCTGTCAAAGTGTAAGTAAACTGCGACTGCATTTCAGATTAGTGCTGTGCTGAATCCTTGGTCAGGTGAGCGAGAGTGCAGAGAAGCACCTAACAAGACTGAAAGCAGCATCTACAAGTATATATTCGTTACAAAGCCAAGAGAGCATCAACGCCTTCTGCAGCACACAGTGAACACAGAAACTGAACATGGTTTGACCACTACATGCTAAAACTACCATGCAACCCTGCACTGTTAAACAGACTGATTATTGAGCAATAATATTATATCAGTCTTCAAATATCTAATTTAATATCTGTGTGCCTGTCACGTGCCATTTTAAAAGATGCCCTTCCAGAATAAACTTTTAGCTATTAGCATAATTACAAATGTCAGTGGGATTTGGGATACGTTTTTAGCTAGCTGGGATAGCTAACCGTCACTAGCTAATGCACATTATGCATAGCTCGTCACATTATGCAAAGTAATGAATGACCATGAAGCCTTACTGAATGTTTTTCTGTGAGCCACAATGTTTTTGCCTCATCAGTTCGCCAAAACACTTTGCAAATGCATACGAGTCCATTATTGAGCAAGTGCCTAGCAGCACCCAGAGTTATATCTAACATTACAGTTTTTTAAAATTTCAGATTAGCAAAGCAAAGGGGCTTAAAAACATGATATGAACGTCTTGTGTGACAATAAAATATTAACTATATATTTACACAATGTTTAAACAAATTACATCACAAAATCGATAATCCAAGTAACAGAAAAAATGTGACTATTCTCTTTGGTTTCTGGTCAGCCTTTTCTGTGGGTAGTGGTGGTGTAGTTTTAACCCTGTCCTCAAACTACAAATCCCTAGTGAATCTCTGTTGAGCTGAGAGAAGAATTAGGATTCATAAGGGTCCTTGGTTGCCAAACTGTGTCTTTAAGCTACATATCAGTGTTAGACCATAAGGTTTGTAAGATAAAACCAGAAAATAATTTAGAAACCAACTGACCTGGAACAAACTCAACACATAATGCAATACTTGCATTTCTGTTAGGGCAAAGACACGCACACCTGCAACTGTCTCCATTGTTCCAGTTGTGATAGCAGCTACTTTGAATGGCTAGAACCCTGGGTGTGCTCTGAACACTATGTAAAGCAGGCCTGTGTAAGTATAGCATAGCAGAGCGTTTCATTTAGTTTCTTCTTAGGCTGAAATGCATGTGCGTGTCGGGAGGATGAATCTCTCGTGTGTTACATCACGGCAGCATGTTCAGTGTAGCTGATTGTGCAAATGTGTGCAAATATGTATGAATAGAGAAGGTATTTCAAGTGCAATACAAGTTTGTCTCCAGAAACTCTGTGTGCCTCCACGGTCAGCTGCCATGGAAATGAGTGCGTGTTTGTCCGTGCAGGTGAACATGCTGTGAATGTGCTGAGCTGCGATGGCCTTGGTGTCGTGATCTGAAAAGGCAGTTCCTCGCCGTCTTCTCTCTTCATCCTCTCCACAACCTCTAGAAGATGCTTTGTCTTCGGTTCTTTCCTCGACCTGTAATTGAAGTTGACACTTGTAGTTGGCATTGACTAATAGGGCTGTGCGATATGACCAAAATCTCATATCCCGATATAAGACATCTATCATCCAGATAACGATATAAATCACAAAAATGTAACATTTTCTGTAAATTCTGTGAATCTCGGGCAGCTTGACTTTCATGAAGTGTTTCCAGCTGCGCGTCATTTAGCTGGAGTCGAGTGTTTTAACAGATGCATGAAACGATACATTTTTAGACAGAAGTTTCTAAAAATGTTTTCTGAAAGGGAACGGGGATACAATTTGAGGGGGAAATTAAATTTAAAACATCCTCGTATCCGTACAACATTAAAAAGTTTTTGCATCTCTGTGTGTGGAGTGAAGCTGTGGAACAGACTAAGTAAAGATATAAAGCAATGTCCGAGCATGGTGCAGTTTAAAAAGCGGTTTAAGGAGATGGTTTTTACAGGGTACAGGGAGGAGGTAGAGATTTGATAGGGTGTTCCTGTCTAATATTTTCATGTGTGTGCGGGTGCACGGGTATGTTGGTATGGGTATATATATATATATATTTGTAGGTTGTGTATCCTTTGAGGTGTTACTGGGGTTATTGAAAATGTGTATATGTGCGTATGTGTATATACGTATGTATGGATAGATAGAAACATATATGTATATATATATATAAAAAAAAAGAATATAATTAAAAAAAAAATACACATGACATATAATGTAATTGCAAGGAGGTATTTCTGTAGTCTATTGATTACTAGATAGTGGAAAAGGGGTGGGATTAAATAAGCTTATGCTTCTTCCTGCTCCTTTTTGAACATGAAAGTTATTTGTACATGTGGTTGCTCGTTTTCTTTTTGTTTTGCTTTGTTCATTTGTCTCTTTTAATTCTATGTTGTTGTACTTTTTCAACATGTTCAAAATAAAGATTCAATCAATCAATCAATCAATAAGTTGTAACGGCCGCCATCTTCTTTGTGAGTATTTATTACACGGCGTGCTGCGGGGAAAAGCCTGTTCTAACGTTTGAGTCTAAGGTTTATTTTTTAGCACCTTTTTACTTCTCATCCATAAATAATCTGCTCTTTCATGTGATTCAGTTTATTTTGAAAAGTCTCAACAGGATCTTGAGCTTTATTGTGAAAGGTTTATGTGGAACATAAACAAGCGGACACGCGATGCTGTTACCGTCGTTGTTGCTAACGACAACGCATAAAAACAGGCACTTGTCCGTCCGTAGTGTGGTTATATTAAATATAAGAGAAAGAGAGAACTTTAAGAAATTAATATAACCACTACAGTGACCATCAAAACGATGAAAGAATATTGCTGTAAACAGTTTATTTTGCGACACCACGAAACAAACCGTAGCATCCGATATATATCGTTATATCGAACAGCCCTATTGACTAATTCAAACAAATAAAAGCATTTTTTAAGAGAAAGAATGACTCATGTTTTTTTCCTTAAAGGAATCTCAACCTAACATTAATTCGTTTGATTAAAGAGTAGAAATCTCACAATAGCTGAGCCTACTTTCCAATAAAAGAAAATGAAATGAAAAAGTAGAGGGCTTTATTACTTTTACTTGTCTTTCAGTTCCCCTGAGAGTTTTTGGAGTGGCAATTTTATTGCATTAGAACAAACAAACAAGGCATGCTGGCCTCTCAGAGTGCTTTGCTAATTGACAAAGTACATCTGCAGACACTTCAGCATTTCAAGAACAAAGTTGTTTTTTAGAATCAGATAAATTAACAATGAAGGAAATGTTTCTCTTGTGACCAACATGAAGAAAACACAAAGACTGAATGTTATTTATGTGAACAACAAGTGGCCAGATTTTGCACTGAGGTCAGATCCTTTACCTAAAGGCTGGAATACTGAGCTGCGGTGTCCTGGGTCCTTCTGGAGCTGCACCTCTCTGAGAGAAAACACTGAAGCAGCTGTAACGCAGGTGGAGAACAAGTTATGCAAAAAAAACGTAGCACAAAGCAAGTAAGGACACTTTTGTTTGGTCAGTTATTCCTTTGCTCTATAGTAACAGTTCTTCACAATAAATAGAGCACTGAAGGTGGGCTGCTCCCATGAAAACCTTGCTAAAGCTTCTCTGTCAGTACCAAACAGTTATTCTGCTGTTGTTTGTTGTTGTTTACTGTATTGACAATTTAATGTATTCATTTAACAATAAAGGCCTTCAGTAGCATGTGGGGGAACCATACACAGCTGACACAGGCTGCAACCTCTTCATGCTGAGCTTGGTCACATTTTTGTTTGACGGCGTCCCATTTTCATCCAGTATTTGTCACAAGTCACACCTAAACTGTCCAGATCACACCAACTGACCTCAAAGCACTCAGCAAGAGGCAAAGTGCAAAGGAAAGAGTATCAGTGGAAGAAGAAAAACTTCCTGACTTTGAGATGTTAAATTTGTGGAATGTGTTGAGGACGACTCAGACGACAGACTTGTCTGAGCACCATACATGCATTTTGTAAATTCTGTGAATACGAAATGCTTCAAGAAACAACAACAACAGAACAAACAAACATGTGTAGTGTGTGGAAAGAAGAAAGTCACAAAATTCCTAAGAACTGAGCAAATTCTGGGTATGTACATGCACATGGGATAAGTACAGCTGCCCAGTGTACGAGTCTGGAGATGAAGGCAAAGCGCTTTGCTGTTTGTGAAGTGATGTGTTGAGACCAATTCCTAAAAGTGCTGATGCTGATTCACTTAAAATAACATTTACGCATCTAACATGCAAAACTTCCACAATGGATTTTCAAGATGCGGAGACGTACAGGACAAAGTATTTGTGTTTTTTTACTTTGATGTTTGCCAAGGGGCAGAAAATCCAGACCAAATAAATCTGATGTTGGTTCTGCTGGAGATGCTGTGTAAAAATGGCCTCAGCTCTTCCAGCAGGAAAGATAAAATCACAAGGTTTTTGCAGAAAGCTACTTTCTTCCCTTTTATAGGCGGAACACTCGAAAGAAAGAGGAATCCAAACCATAACATGAAAAGTTTGAATGAGCAGAGTGAAAGACTGCAACACAATGGATGAGAAAGACTTGAAGAAAAAGGGAAGAGGCTCTTTAGACATCAGAGAAAAGCAGGACAACATCATTGTGAGGTGGTATGACAAAGCTGTGAACCTGC